ACGGAGATTTTTCTTTGGGCCAGGGAGAGGCTTTCTGAGGAGCTGGAGGTTGGGCTGAGCTCAGGTGTCCATCTCATTGCAGGGCTGGAACGGATAGGGCGTTGCAGGAGGATAACCTGTCCGCCCTTGCTAGGCACTGAGTCACTCGTCCTTGCCTTTTAAATAGGTGTCTCAGAAAGGGAACAGTGGGATGTAGGATGGCACCATCCCTTGCACCCATCATCCTGCTTTCAGGACCGATCCAAGGTCACTTCCTACCAAGGCTGATGAGTTTGCCACTAGCTCTTTGCTTATGGCTGGGGCTTTGCACGGAAGCAAAGAGAGCGGAAATGATTTCATTCATTTCCCTTTGATATTTTTTTTTCCCTCTCCTCATCTTCAAAGGCAGGAAGGGAAAATTCTGGCCCACGTGCATGCGCTGTTCATCTGGGCGTGTGAGCTGGTGGGAGGGCAGCCCCAAGCCCAGGGGGACTTGCATCCGCACAAGCACTCCTTGTCAACCCCAGTCCCTCCCCGAGAATGGAGGTCTTGTTTCTGCGCAGAGCCCTCCGCCCTTGGGGGAGGGAGGGAGGAAGCCCAGCAGAACCTCCCTGCATAACGGGCCCACGTTTTCTGATTTTATTTGTTCGTCTGACAAGAAGCCTTAGGAGGAGAGCTTGCAGCCAGGCAGGGCTTGGCGCATTGAACCCCCCAGCTTTGCTTGGGCTTTGCTGGTTTGAAGGCGGCCGCTGGTGGCGATGACCTAATTGTTAAATTAGGCCCTGCGATTGCCCCGCAGGCGTGTGGCTGATCCGGGCCAGCACCATCATCTGAGCGCGGCAACAGGATGTGAGCTGGAAAGGAGGGCGAGCCGGGGCGCTCTGGCACAGCAGAGGGTGGGAGGAGGGATGGAGCCGCCCAGCTTGGGGAGCCTCAAGCACCCAACCCTGAAACCTGCGGGAGGAGAGGAGGGCTGGGGCAAGAGGGGAGGATGGGCTCCTGGCCGGGCTGGGCCATGCCAGGTATGGGAAAAGGGGGGAAAAAAGCTGGGGAGGGAGAAAAAATGGCAGGGAAGGTTCAGAAAGCGAGATCGCCGTGACGAAGAAGGTGAGCATGTGCGTTGGCAGAGCTGTGCAAAGCGATGCAGGAATTTTTCTGCTGATGTGGTGACCTGTCCCAGTTAAAGGTCTTGCCTTAAATGAGATCCATCAGATGTACAGCTTTGCAACAGAGCTAGGGCCATGCTGCAGAGCCGAGATTTACAAGGTCCCAAAGCTCGAGGGCGTCTGACACGAGGGATCTAATTTAAGCCCATTAAACAGAAATTATCTTTCTCAGCGACATGTTACAGAAGTGCAGAGGGAGAGCCTGGCCTTTTAAGAGGATGGATTTCTTCTCCAGAAAAAAAAAAAAAAAGGAAAGGAAAAAAAGCGCCTCCTCGATCATAAGAGCCAGTTTGGCAATTGTACATAGTAATTAGATTAATTCAAATACCTAGAGGGGAAAAAATAATTGCAAAACCTGCCCAGAAAGTTTGGTGGTTGTGGGATGGTTCCCATTGGCAAAGGGTCAAGGCGAGGTCCCACCCATCGCCTTTGTGTTCCCATGCGCGGGAGGAGCGCTCGGCAGCGCTTCCCGGGAGATTTCCCTCTCTGCACAGCTACGCCCTCGGCTCAGGCTCATTGCACAAGTATTTTAAGCATGCTGATAAAAGCCCAGCAGTCACTGGCCGGCATTACGCGAACACCTGGCTGCCTCTTCTCTCCCTGAGCCGGGGATGGCTTCCCTGTGGCTGCCCACGTTAAATATCGCGCTTGGCTCCACATCTTCTTGCATGTGGGACAGCATCCTCCTCTTCCCAGACAATGCTGGCCTTGTGCAGCAGCGGTGCCTCAACGCATGTCTTGGTGGAAAATTGATGCCAACAGCGCAAATAATCATACCGATGTTAAAAAAAAAATGTGCAAACATTATTTCAGAGCGGGGCACAAGTTTCATGCATACATCGCCTGCTTGCCCTTCCTCCCAGTGTTGGGGGCTAATGATTTTCTGGCTGGCCAGGCATTTTCTGCTCCCCTGAGCATCATAGCTGTTCTGCACGAAGACTGCAGGTCAAAGAGCATGCCGGGTGCATGGGGGCTGTCTTTGCATCCCATGGGCCATCCTGGACGTCTGTCTGCGCGTGGAAAAAACCTGCCTTTGCCAAACTGGAGGTGCTTCCCCGTCCGCCAGGTTCCTGTTAACGATGCAAATGGGAGAGCTGCTGGAGGGGGAACTGGCCCAGCCACGTGAAGGGCTTGCATTTCCATCCAAATTGAAATATCCGTTCTTTTTGCAAGGAGGGGTGGGGGAGTATCTCAAGGGGGTTCAGTCTTTATCTGTGGCTTTATTTATTTATTCTTAAAGACCTAGTTAGACCTAAGCGTCTTACTCCTGCTAAGCCCTAGAGAGCTGTTCCTCTGTCCCACACTAGAGAATAAATGGCAATAGCAGCTTGGGTGGAACGGGGCCCTCTCAGGTAATTATGATATTGGAAGAAACCGTGATTTGCTTGGAAGCTTCGAACACAACCCTAGAAATTACCTCTCCATCCCTAACCCCATGCAGTAGTTACCAGCCCTGTTGAGTGCAACATTCGGAAGCATCTTCTGGGGCCAAAGGCATCCTTGGAACCTGGTGAAGGCAGTGGTGAGCACCGGCTTGCCTTTTGGGCAGGTTTATGGTTGTCTGGACCGCTCAGTGAAGAGCTGAGCTGGCTCATGGTGGAATCTAGTCCCCATGCCTCCAGGAGTCCTTAGCCTTAACGAACCCTAATTGGACCTCTATAAATTAATGCAAAAAATTATTTGAAGTGATTTGCTACTACTGCAGGGGAATGCCACCAGGGACGAAGGGGCTCCCGCACACTCTACTCTGCTTTCCCATCCCAAGATTTGCTCTCACCCTGCCATCTGCATGTCTCTGCCATCTCTCCTAGGTACCATGCTCGGGATTTGCGCCTCGGTGCAGCCCTTGACCCGAACAGTGGGCCCCACCATCGGTGGAGTCTTATACAAACAATTTGGAGTCTCCTCCTTTGGCTATTTACAGCTAATTGTCAATATAGGTTTGTTTGTTTACCTCTTAAAGAGTAAAATCCCGCTGAGAGAGATGAAAAGCCAATAATTCAGCTGCAAGAAAGTAACCCGCTTTTTCCATAGCAATAAAGATGTTCTTGAGTTTTATTTTTGATTCCATAAACCTGGAATAAAACCATTTGAACAATACCTTGCCTTTCGTCAACATTTGCATCTAGAGTAAGGGACAGATCGGTTTGCAAAGGCCTTGGAGCCGTGCTGGAGCAGCTGGCGGCTGTGGGGCCCCGGGAGCTATTGGGTTCCCCCCCACAGCGGTGGCTGTCATTGTAGGCAATAGCTCCAGATCCTCAGCTGTTGTCAGGCAGCGTTCCTGCTTGGATTCACCAAAACTAAGGGGATTAGGAGTTAGTGCCTCTGCTCTGATTTGGCCTTTTATTTCACCCCCCTGCAATGGTACCGAGGAAAATCAGGGTAAAACATATCTGCTTTTCAGTGTCATTTTGCTGCATTAAATGCACCTCTGGCATTCTTGTGCTAGAGGGGAATCGAGGCCAAAGGCTTTCGAACGCTGCAGCCAAACGTTTGCTACATCCACAGCTCAATCATGTGCAACCCTGCCTCTGCACGAGCCCAGCGGGCGGCCAGCAGCGTGCAGGGAGGATGCAAAGCCGCGGTGTAGCACGCTGCAGTGCCAGAGTGCCTGCTGCTTCCAGAAACAGGGGCCAACACTCCTTCCAGGTTTTTTTTCCCCCTGTACTGAGTCTTGGTCTTACTATAGGCTGCCTGTAATTACATACTTTGCAACTTCCTCTAGTACAAAGTCTCCTGCAGGAATTGCACTGATATTAGGAGGAGGAAATTACCTGATTGAAATTACCAAGTTTGGAGCATTAGTAGCGAGTACTTTGCCTGCTAAGCTCGTAGTCCTGACTGCCGGAGCTGACTCATGTGCTGCAGCATTGCTCTTGAGGAAGCCCAGGTTAGTTAGTGATAATTGAGCCTCACAAGATAAAACTTCAGTAGTTTTATTCAAAGAAAAGTAGCTGCTTTTTTCTCCAAGCTTCTTGGTCCGGGTGTTATCAGAAAAAGACTGTCTCTGTTCTTCCCAGTTATCCTGTAGAAATTTAACTCGATCTAGAGACTGCAGAGGTGAAGGAAGAGGAGAGAGCGAGGAGTTCAGCTTGCTTTGTTGCAAAGCTGAGGAATCCCATGGAGCGTTGGCACTGGGTTATTCCGAAATCAAGAATCCAGTTTTCTGCCTTAGCACAGCACTGAGCTATGGGGGCCAGGGGAAGGATGTGGGGCGCGAGCAGGCAGCAGCGTTTTATAGTCACAGGGAGCTCTTGTGCATTCTGTAGCTCCCATTACTCAATTATATGGGAAAGCGCTTCAAAAGCGGCGCTTATCCAAATCGTAGCAGGCTTTTTTATTTCCACCACTGACCAGAATTGGACCTCAACACACTTTCCCTCCCTGGCTGGGAGACGAGGTCAAACGCAAATGGGTTATCTGGGCTTTCTCCACCTCCTACTGCCCAGTCCAGGGCACCAAAAAGCTGAGCTCACTCACTCTTTTTAAGCCACTACGCCACTGCCTGCTCCACAACCATGCATCAACAAAAGTTACTGCAGCCCAGAGTATAGTAATAAAAAGTGAACATTTCAAGTAATTTATTTGGAATGGACATATTAATGCAAAAGCAATATTAAGACCAGTAACTGCTGAAAGACATTCATCAAAATAAATACAAATATAGATACTACAAATAATTTAAATTGTGTTTAACACAGTCAGTGTTGAATCTTCCTAGCGTCTCATAAATAGAAGATAATCGTTCGCAAAGCTGTGCCACTCAAAACACGTGGCCGCTTCACTAGAAGTCCTTTACGAACAGTCTTTGGTTTTTCTTTAAATGCATCTCAGGCAAAGCTCAGGGCTCTTTGCTCAGCAGCCTCCACCGGCTTGGAGAAAACCAAGCTGCTTCCAGCTCTCTTCTTCGCTTTCCTTCATTGGTACCCTGTCCCATTTCAGTCCAAGACACTTGATCTGGTTTATCATCCAGTGGTATGCTCTGAAGGCAGAAAGAGAAAGCAGGTTAGTTAAACGAACAGGACAGCGAGGCAGAAAAAAAAGAGGGGGCTCTAAAGGGAGAATAAGCGTTCAGCATTTATTTTCGCGGCTATCGTATTTTTAGCAGATTCCGTAAGGAAAGCACTGCCAAGTGCCAGCACTTATTTCCTCCCCAATAGCCGCAGTTCTCAGCGCCCTGCATGAGCCCGGCTCCCACCAGACAGTCCCAGCGCCGCACGGGGAAAGGGGGAGCGAGCCCCGAAGCTCCTGCGCAGAGGCGACCGGGCAGCGCGCCCCGCTTTCGGGGTGCGGCCGGGCCCCCCG